GCTTTGTAGCTTTTGCTAATTCTTACTATTAGAGTCCTGGACAGACCCCTCAGGTGCAAGCAGAGGAAGAGCTGGTAGTGGTAGTGGCTCTGGCATTGCAACATCCTTTAGCCATTTCTCTAGGTATCTTAATCCACTGCCTCTTTTCCTGCTCCTCTTTCCAAGGAGACCTTTCTTAGCAAACTCCCCATGTAAGCTGGCCTGTTCACTGGTCCTTCGTCCCAAAGAGTTCCCTTTTCCCTGCTAATCTGCTTCCTCACCAAGCTTACAGTGAAAGAAGGTGAGAGAGAGTTTCAGACAAACTCCCCCTTGCTCTAGATTCTAGTTAAACAAGGGGCTTAAGTATTTGTTTGACTGCTGAGTTTTAGCTACTTACACTAAATATATGTAGGTTAGTCACTGTTAATTAAAGAAAAAACTTACCTTAAAAGCTCCCCTTCAAAGAGTGGGCCAGCAAACTGACATACAAACTGCCCTGTTCGTTCATTCCCTCATCACTCAGGGACAGTGTCCAGACGAGTGTGGACATGTGGTTCCCCAGGGACAACTAGCAGCACTGCACCTTGTGCCACCACTTGTTGTCCCCAGAGAACCCATGCCATGCACACTCTGGTGCACGGCAGGTTACTACAGGTGGGGTAGGAGAGGCCAGGGGCCAGCCCAGGGGCCAGCACTGGGCTGGCCTCAGCAGCCTTACCTGGGGTCCTCGGGAAGCAGCAGGTGGGTGATCCTACTGTTGAGAGCTTGGCCAGGAGCCAGGGCATGACTCCGGCCTGCCAGGCTCCAGTTCTGGGCAGAGCATGCTGCCCCCACATGCACCACTCTGCTTTTTTTTTGCATGGGCTTTTTTGACCCCTGGATATCCGGGGGTCAAAAAAACCTCTTGTTCTGCTCCAGCAATGCTGAGAACAGTTGAACGCGCAGTATGTGACACTGCAAACATGTCTGCAGCACTACATACCACACGGCCATGCTCATCTGGACATGGCGGGGGAGTCTCCTTTTATATCCTTCTGGCCCTAAATGGGCTTTGCCCCTTTGTCAGACACAGGCAGCAATCACTCAGCTAACAGCACTCCCAGCTGCTCAGAGCACACACCTAGACACACAGCCCACCAAACAAACACTCCAGCAAGCCAAACACACATGCAGCCCTGGGTCACTTACCTTCCCAGAGCAGGATTTGGTGCTTAGTGATTGGCTCAGTTTCCCCTTCCTCTTCCCCTTCCTCCTCTTGCTCCCAGTGAACTGCCTTGTTTGCTGTCCCTGTTCACTCACTCCTTTTGAACTTTTTCAAGCAAAAAAAACCCTGAGTTTTTAATATTCTGTTAAACTGGTTTTCATTTTTTGACCAGAAATAGTAAAAAAAAAGTATGCATAATATCTAGCATTGGTAAATATTGCAGTAAATTAATATACTTCTGATTTATAACATGGCCTGAGTGTAAAGTTACAGTGTGTACCTTCTGAATAGATTACTATTTACATTGAAATAATGAATAGCATATTTGTTTAAAGGTCATATTCCTAGAACAAGAAATTCTGTCCTTTTTATTTATTTCTTGCAAAATTCAAAATTATTTTGTAGAGAGCCAGGGGTTAGCTTGCTGTTGTTGTTGTTGTTTTGTTTTGTTTTTTTAACATAAAAAATTTAGACCTGATCTTATTCTGTGTTCTGGAAGATTAATGAATGGCTGGAGAACTAGTAGAATCATTACGTTCTACTTACTAAGGAGTACAAATTAAAACACTGCCAAATAGAGAGGATTCTAGACAAAATGTGGGAGTACTTTGGGTTTTTTCATGTATGTAATTCAAATGTCTGACAAACAGGGGAGGAAATACCTCTTAATTAAAGGTCTGATATCTTCTACTCTTTCAGTGAACTCCCACCAGTCCCTTGATCCTTTAAGGAGACCTCCAAGAAAAGACCAGGGAAATCAAGACATAATCTTCCTGCTATTTCTAGGATTCAACCCTTCCCCCTGAGAACACTAATGAAAAAACCAAGAAAACTTATTTTTCAGGCAGGCCTGCTTCAAATAGGGTGAAGAGAAAAAGAGAATTCACAAAATCAATTTTCCCTCTCTTCGCAGGTCACCTTTAACAGAACTGAAGAACCCATTTGCAGGTATCAAGACTCTGAAAGGGGTATATTGCTTCTTGGTTCAAAACACAAAATGTTCGACCTGAAACTAAGTGAAAGGGGTGGCATTTTTCCCAGCTGACAGCACAAAAAAATGAGAGGAACTGGCAACAAGAACAGCTTTACAATAATTAAACTAGCATTGCCTGCTTCAGCAGTTGGAGATCTCTCAGTAGTCTGGAGCTCTGCCATCCCTGCTCTAACTTTATACTGCTGGCTTTTAATGTTTTAAGACTAATATTAAGGCAACATGGTCTAACAGATTTCAAAGAGCTTATGTAACAGTCTCCAACAACTGAATAAATTAGTAAGAACAAAATTGTTGTAATCCATTGCAGCTCGAGGAGAAGCAAACCAGTCCTCATTAGTTTTTTTAACTGAATGTTCAGCTGAGGTTGTAGAGAAATCGTGTTTCCCTAAAGGTCTGCAACAGTTTTTAAGAAAAGCTGAAGCTGAGTGAAAGAAATCCCTCCAAAGGGAAAAAAAAAAGTGATCAGAGAATGAGAGATTATAAACCCAACACACTAATGGGAACAAAAACTGCAGCACAATGGAAACCGAGTTCAAACCAGCTTCATGTGCTGAATAAATCCTATCTACCCAGCTGTATGCAGCATTAGCACCAAAAGAAGTGTTAACTTTCATAGAAATGGCAAAGCAGAATAAACAAATGAACAAAAGCTTCACAGCACACTGCCCTTTATGATGTGGGAAGAAAGTCTCAAAGGAGTGGTACAGTAGGCTGATAAGAAGAGCTGTAGCTTTTCTGCTGCTTCATTGACAGAAGAGGGGATGCTGTACCTATAGTTCCCAATCTCTGCTTTCTTACCTGGCGGGGGAAGTACCATGACCACTTAGGCAGTTTTCCTAATCGCTAGGGATAACCATTTTTCTAGCACAGGTAGTACCCATGGAGGTAATGTATAGTTAACCTCCCACTTTCATTTCCAGTGGGAAGATCTTGGCTTTATGCCCACTTATGGAAATGGAAGACTGTACCCTAGCTTGCTCCTGGCAGCTGAATGGCTGAGGCCAAGTGAAACTCGGGGGGCATCTGAACCTCAAGTCTCTGGTCTTGGGCCTGCATCTGGACACCTACCAAATGATTTGGAAGCATCTGAAGCCCCAGTGCGTGGTGGAGGATGTTTGCTGGTAGTAGGGCCACATATGGTTCTTGAACGACTCACAGATTTGGAATCAATTTGGCTAATTTGGCTTGGAACACGAAAAATTTTCCTTTAAAAAAAATCCCACAATGTGAAGTTTCCCTTAGTGGCAGTACAGAGTAGAATGGCTCTAACATTTCACCCTGAGGTTGTTGGTAAAAGGGATATGCTAGAAGGGTGGCCAGGTAAGATTTCTGGTTCTTGGCTGGGGAAACAACCCCATCAAAGTGCCCAACCTACAAAAGGTGCCAGATAGGCATGCATCTACATGCACACTTTACTGCAGTTAACTAATTAGCTCCACAGTAAAGTGCCACTGTCTACATGTCCACCGGTACTAGGGTGCAGTAAAATAACTCAGTGACAGTACTATCTTATGGCAAAGTATTTAACTCTACCAAGGAATCAGAACTCATGGTAGAGGTGATTTTTTATTAGACCAGCTGGACTTTTGCAAAAAAAATTCGTTAATTGTAAGTTTTCAGGCACAAACTAGAAGGGCTTGTGCTTGCAATTAAAGATTTTTTTTTGTTTTGCAAAAAGCTAATTGGTTCAATAGAAGATATCACCTCTACCATGAGTTCTGATTCCCTTTTGCCCCTAGACCAATACAGCTACAACCTGGATACCTAACTCCACCAAAACGTGTAGATGGTGACAGGATGGATGGGGCATGAGAGTGCTAAAGTATGGGGGCTGCCTGCTGCCTAGGCCTGCATTTTAGCACCCTCATGCCCCAGCCAGCCACTCCACTGCCTGATGCTCCTACCCAGAGCCTGGGGATGACTCCCTTGACCCCGTGCCAGTCCAGGGCTACTCCATCCCCAGCTCAAACTGCTGCGGTCCCAGTCGCATGTGTAGAGGCTGCACCCAGGAGCAGCTGACTCCAGCGCAAACTGCGCCAGACTTTATCACATAACCCTGATGGCACATGTAGATGTATCCAGTAAGTGAAAAACAGAGAAGTGTGAAGATGACTTCAAGCCATCATTGCATCCTTTTCCCTGTGTGGAATGGAGATCATGTGGAATGAAGAACTTAAATAATCTTTTTACTCACATACCATACATACCTTTTGCTCAAAAAGCAGTTTTCCAATTTGAAAGTGCCTGTGAAAGGGTTAACACTGGACTGGGACCCTCTTGCTTACTAGCAGGGAGAAAGAAGCCATTTTGAAACATAGTGTGTTAATGAAAAGCCTAGCTCTTTTTTCTACATTTTGTCTTCCAAAAAAACAAAGTGCAAGTTTTATCTGGGAATGCATGGTATGTGAGAAAATATGGTATTAATACCCAAAGTCTGTCTGTCTCTCACTACTTCACTTACTCTCCATTTTCAATTGAGGTGTAGGGAAGCTATAGCTCCAGGTGTCAGTTTATAATAGGGACCTCATAAGGTCATCTAGTCCAGCCCCCTGCTCAAGGCAGTATCATTCCTGACTAAACCATCCCAGCCAAGTGTCTGGCTAATTTTGCTTTTGAAAACTTCCAGCGATTGCAATTCCACAATCTCTCCAGGTATCCTGTTCCAATGCTTGACCACCCGCATAGTCAGAAAGTTCCTCCTAATCTTCAACCTAAATTTTCTCTGCTGAAACTTGAGGCCGTTGCTCCTAGTCCTTTCCCCTATGAGCATTGAGAATAGTCTATGTCCACCCTCTCTGTGATTGTTCTTCAGGTATTTGATGACTATTATCAAATCCTCCCTCCATCTTTTCTTATCGAGGTTAAATAACCATCATTCTTTCAGCCTTTCCTCATAAGTCATGCTTCCCAAGCCTCTAATCAATTTTGTCACTCTTCACTAGACTCTTTTCCATCTGCCCACATCCACCTTGAAGCGTGGAGCCCAAAACTGGACACAGGTTTGTATTGTGTGGTAACTCTCCAGTACCAGTTCTCAGGTCATCAAAGGAAGTCTCCAGCAAAATCAGGGAAGACAAAAGCTGACATTCCTGTTCTTTCCACTTTTTGTTTACTTTCAATACTTTTTTTCCTCTGCAGACTCCTCCTGATTCTTGCTGCTGTGCTACTACTGGCACAGAATGCAACCACTTGTGGTGTTGTGGTTACTCAAATTCTTATCACTGTTATACCATCAGTAATCCAACTGCTAAGAGCATTTCACAGAGGGAAAAGCCTTTTTAGCAAGGTAAGGTGATCTTTGTTTCATTAGCGACTGTCCGCCACAGCACAGTGAACAGGAGAGCTGGCATTATTGTAGTGTTGTGAGTATTATTTGGAATTTTCTTTGTTATGAAATTGACTTAGCAAATTCCTCAATTTAGCTTTACCGTTCAGTTTTGTTACAAAGCTCTAAGTTTCTACTTACAAACACTGTGTTTCCTGCCTACAATACTCAATCAGCACCCTGATATAGTCACACACCTTCAACATATTTACTGTCAGAAGACTGTGTGGTAGTAACTGGGTGTGTCTATTAATTCCATAAAGGCTTACTACACAGTAAAATACTGTGCAGTAATCCTTCCCTGAGAAGATGTGCTCTGTGTTGGGAGCAAATTTGCTCCCAATAGGAACAGCCTGGTATGGGGCTGCTCTGACCCTGCTCTGGTCCTCTGTAGGAGCTGGGGGGAGCTCCAGGCTACCTGGGGTGCTGCCTTGGGAACTGGCAGGGGGCACAGGGTTCGTTTCCATGCATACAGGTCCAGAAGAGCTCTGCCGGATGCAATGGCAGCTGTCTCCTTGCCCCGTACACATCAGGAGGTCCTGATGTGCAGGGGGCTGGGAGACAGCTGCCGCAGCAGAGCTCTCCGAGCTCCAGGCACATGAAGACAAACTCCATGCCCAGCCGCACTTCTCTGAGAAGCTGGGGTTAGGCCGGGAGCTGTCCCACTCCTGGGGCAGTTCCCAGGCAGCCCCAGGCTGGGCAGGCATTTCCCCAGACTGCCAGGGGCTGGCCAGTCCAGCCAGCCCTGGGTTCGGCAGGCATTTCCCCAAGCAGTTGGGGGCTGGCCAGGAGCTGTCCTGCTGCTCAGAGAGCTACCCCATCCCAGCGCAGTGGGGCAGCACCTGGCCAGCCCTCAGCTATGTGGGGAAGCAGAGAGTTCCCCAGCCCTGGTACTGCTTGGCTCCAAGTTCCTTTGGGGAGCTGGGAGCTGAGCAGTGCTGGGAAAGCAAGGGGCAGAGAGTGACCCTATCCCAGTGCTACTTGGCTCCTGGAGAGAGCTGAGCAGCACCAGGACCAGGAGAGTTCCCATCCCCTGTTGGCCCCTAGTGTTGGGCAAATTTGCTCCCGGTCAGCATCTACACATGTGTTACTGTTCAGGGTCTACTGCACAGTTAGTTTACTGCACAGTAAAGCATCTCAATACACACACCCGCTAACATATTGAATAGCTTTGGTGAAGTAGAAATAAAAAAAAAAACCTGGAGACAGGATCTTCAAGAAAAGATCATACACATTCACAGAGGTCTTAAATTCAGGAGAGACAGGTCCTTAAAGATAAAGGGTTAGATGAAAAGTTTGCTTTCATTCAGGCATCTTTCTTGAGGTTTTGATGGTGGGAATCATCTTTCAGTTCTACTAGGAGACTTAAAGGCATGGAAAATTAGAATCTGTTTTCTTCTTTCAACTCTGATCAGAGGTTAGAGAGGAATGTTCAGACCTGGATACTAAATAACCAATTGTGGGTTCCTTATTTATCAAGTTTATAGTGGAGATCATTTATTAGAAAGAAAAATGAACAGATGGACTTAACCTTCACAAGTGAAGTTCCCAAATACATGATGCTTTTCACCTGCTGTTTCCTCAGCACAGACCCTTCATACCCAATCACATTTAAAAACAAATGTTATAGTGTAGTAAAATCAAAGTCCTCTTGTGAATCTAAAGCTTGGATAAAGTCTGGAGAACCCTATTCTAGGAATATGCATGACAGTAGTTTAATAAAATTGTTCTTTGCAAGCTTTCAGGCACAAACACCTTGCAAAAAACATTTTTTTCAACTATTTAGCTGGTCTAATAAAAGAGATCACATTTACCCAAAGAACCTTGTCAGCCTGTGTCCTTAGACCAACACAGCTACAACCAACAGCCCTGGTAGTGTAATAAGTATGTTGGGTTGATCATCATAATCAAAGTCAAATTATAAATTATATAACATGAATTAACACATCTGAGTATAACAAACATCTCTTGTCAATCTGGGATCTGGTTTCATTTGAGAATTCTAAAATATAACTATTGATAAAGATCCAGAAAGGTAGAAAATATATCAAAGTGACAGGAGTTCTCTCACATTTTAATCATGGAAAGAAATGGAGAGTGCAAAGATGGAAATCCTAACCTAGATTTATAGAAAATACAGATATCCTTTAACAATTCTGATCTTTGTTACAGAGATAATCCCTACAATGATAACTCCTTATGCATTTGAAGAAAACACATTTTTTCAAACATTATAAACAAACTAAAATAAAGTAAAGGAAAAGAACATGGAGCTGCCTTAATTTCAAAAGTCTTCCCTTCCCTTCATGAAATATGCACAACTTTAGGGCCTACTGCATAATCTAATTCTATAAAAGTCACAACTTTAGTTTTAGCATGAGCCCCTAATATAGTTCTAGAACAAGGCACAGTACAAACAAGAAATACAAGAATGCAGATGCTTTCATTGTTAGATAACAGACAGAGCTGCTGAATGTAAGCAGAACTTTTTACAAGGACTGAATCTGGCAATACAGCTTTAGGAAATATTAAATTTTAAAACTAGTCTTCAAGGAGTTTTCATCCCTTTAGTCTTCTTAAGGGTTAAAATAAAGGACATGGAGTTCTTGAGAATAAAGGTTGTGAATAGTTCAACAGTGAGTTGTAGATTAAATGTAGATAAAAATCTGGAATTCCTTTCTCCAGCCTTTATAGTAGGCCATATTTCAGGAAGCCTAAAATCTTGACAGTAGTCCTTTAAAGATAGGAAGAAAGACGGGAACTACATTCTACCTAGTAAATAATTTCTGGAGTTGCATTCCTGCGCACTATTGCATAAACCAGGAACCCATGAATGTGCATAGAGCTAATGGTGAGGTTTGAGATGAGATCTGAAAACCAGCAGAGTTTCCCCTCCAGCAGTGAAAAACCCAAATGCTAGGAACCCAGCCAGGTGCTATACAATTTCACATTATTTTGGATCAAATGACAAGCAGACACACGTTGCTGTTTCAAAACAGCTACAGATGCAAACTCTTGAGACAGTAGTGAGGGAATAGCCCACTCTCTGTTGTGCTTGTGCATCTGTCCTACTTAAATTTACATTCAGAAATAAACTCTTCAAGGTACAGTAGTTTACCAGCTATGTACTGATGCTAGAAGACAAAAAGGATTATATGTACCTTCTGAAATCACTGCCTAAAAAGGCAGTAAGAACAACAGGTGAACAAAAGAACAAAACTGACTTTTAAAATTTGCTTGAAGAATCATTACTGTTAATTTTTGGCATGATCCTGTTCTTAAAGTTCTTGCAGAAGGCAGGGTAGATTGGTACCTTTAGAGACTAACTAAATTGGAGAAATATAGCATAAGCTTTCATAACCAGAGGGCTTACTTCATCAGATGCTGCAAAGGGACTAAACCTGCATTTACCTGCCTCTACTAATGTCATTTATACGCCATCACCTGCTTACAGTGCCCCTCAGCTGTCTACATGGGACTGATGTAAACCTTATGTGTAAGAATGAATGAACATTGATCTGATACCAATATCATAAAGATGCATGAGACTGTAACAGAATACTTTGCCTCCCTGGACATTCCATCACTGACTTCAGAGGGGTTGTTCTTAGATAATAAAATCTTAAAAACGAATTGTGAAACAAGAAATAATCCACAGACTGGATTGTGTTTAGTCTAAACCCAAGTTTATCCCATTACCTGGATTAGCTTCGATAAACCCTACATCTCTCAGTGAGTTAACAGCTTTGTTTTTCTTCTGTCCACCGTGCCTCTCTTGGCAGTGCTCCCTCCTTTTCCTTCCCCCTTTCCTTACCTTTTGTATTCTAATCAGAATTGGCTTTCTATTCAGCAACTCTGCATCCTGCAGGCCCTTCACAACATCTGATGAAATAAGCCCTCTGGTTATGAAAGCCTCTGTTATACATCTCTGAATTAGTCGGTCTATAAACTGCAAATCTATCTTGTCTTCTGCCTAACTCCAGGCTAACATACCTAACTACCTACCTCTGTTAAGGTTCTCCACTGCCTTACACGTGACGCTGTCACTTCCACCTGTGCAAAGGGAATTCAAAATGTGACACCCACAGCTGGGTGCAAATGCCCAGACAACATGCAAGGCATTGAAAAACCGTCTCCTTCCTTAGCTGCTCTAAATCACTGTAAAACAGATGTTATGTCAACTCTTCGGTGGGTGGAACTATGTTTATCACCACTAGTTGAAAATCTGTACCCTGGCAGGTGCCCAGGTGCATTTCAAAGTAACACATGAAGAGAAAAAAAAGAAAGAAAAAAAAGAAAGAAAAAAAGAATTTTCCATAGAGATCAAAATATACATGGTTTATCTAACAGTCTCTCTGCTTTCTAAGATGAACAATACATATGTTTAGCCTTGTGTGTATTTTATGTAACTTCAAAACCAACAAAAAACTGTGCTTAAGCATGCATAATATTCACCTGGATCTGATCCATTTGATG